AATTGATTCGGCTATTGATACATGGAAAGTTGTGCAACCAAGATTGGATTCCTATTCACCTACTATAAAATTCGCTTTTCTTGTCAATAATCCCATAAACCCACCCCCAACAAATCTTCAATCTAAATTCCTAGAACTCTAAAGCCATCATAGAGAGAAAATTCCATGAACCCTAAATCCAGAGGAGGAATGGCGAGGGAGAAAGGGAGAGTGATTGGAAAAATGAAAGAACGACGGGAGCCATGGCAGAAAGTGGGCAGGCGGAGGCTTTGTCGGCGAGCTCAGGGGTTGTTGGGGATTTTTATTATTATTGAGTTTTTATTATTTTAGTTTTATTTTTATAGTTTTAAATTATAAAATTAGACTTTTAAATCGAACTGCATAAATAGTTAATTTTTCTTTAAAAAATAATACACGTGGCATATTTTGAATGGAAGTATCATCAGATGACATGGTGATACCGTACCATTCTATAATTTCTCGAGAAGGAGGTAGTTATTGCTGGAACATTTTCTTTTTTTATTTTTTATTTCATAAGTATTGGCTAAGAAGGTGCAAATGGTGAGAGTTTTAGGTTAATACAATTATGATGATGTGGGCTTAATAGAATTCATTAGATTAATCTAATGGTTAGTATTTGTTTAAAAGGGTGTTGTGTGATAGTATATTAAGGTGTATAAGGAGTATTTTTGGGAGTTAAATAGGGTGTACTTAGTTAATTTTGCATTTTAAATAAAATATTATGGTGTACTTAGATCATAGGGTGTACTCAGTTAATTTTAGGGTTCATTCAGCACTCTAAAGAAATACATGCTCTTCCACACTAGACAAAGAATATGTATATAATCATGAGAATGAGGTTGATATTCAAAGCTTCAGAGAAGTAAAAATAATCTTTATTTGACTAGGGAGAAGCTACATAATTGAAGGCTGCAATAAGACCCCTATAAATACCATACATATCTCACTCTCTAAATCGTGCAAAATAGTAAGGAGAGTTATCAAAGCCTTCATTTCTTTTTTAGTTGTTGAAGGAGTTGGTTCTAATTTGCATGAAATGGGGTCATTCTCATCACCATGCACCCTAGTGTTTCAGGTGAAACGATTGGAGCCAGAACTTGTAACACCAGCAAAGCCAACTCCTCGTAAACAAAAGGTTCTCTCAGAAATAGATAACCAAGAAGGCCTTAGGTTTCAGACTCCCTTCATATTGTCTTACAATAACAACCCTTCATTGAAACAAAACGACCCCGTTAAGGTGATCAGGGAAGCTCTAGGTAGAGCATTAGTACATTACTACCCTTTAGCTGGTAGAGTGAGGAAAGGGCTCTATGGGAAGCTTATGGTGGACTGCAATGGAGAAGGTGTCTTGTTCATAGAGGCCGATGCTGACATCACGCTTGAGGAACTCAGGGATACACTTGAACCCCCATGTCCATTCTTGGAGGACATCCTGTATAATGTCCCAGGCTCCGACGATATTATTGGTACCCCTTTGTTGCTAATTCAGGTGAGTACGTCGACTTAATTAATTACATGCATGTTAGTATTCCTGTATATATAGGAGCAAAGGTCAGTCGTTTTTCTGAGACTTTTACTCTCATCATCTTTTGTTAAGGATCTGTGACCTCAAATTTAAGGACATGGAAGTACGCTCACGCACAACATTCGTCCTTTAATAAACATGTGCCAATAATCTATCTGCATGTATTTTTTTTTTTCAAGAGAAATCCCTCAAATATGACACTTCTTAGGGTGTCCACTACAATTTTTTTTTTTTCAACAATCCAAACCGTCTATTTTCAAGTCTTTATTCATAGATTATATTTGCAAAAAATTAGAAAAATTCAAAATAATTTCAGCATCTAGTTGTGACCACAAAATAAACAAACACGTTTCTTTAAGAAAACACTACAACTACAATCGTTAATTAAGTGGTCTAATGATTTCCGACTCAAGTGATTTTTTCAAAAGACAATTTTTGTTGGAATATCTAAAAGATAAACAGTTCAATCCCTCAATTGAAGTTTTCTATATATTATATATATTCAACATATTAATTTTAGTTTACGTGAGATATTTAGTTACAAATAGATGTAAATGAACGCAATGGTAGTAGTATTGTCACCGATGCATTACTTTACAATAGAATCAAAAAATAATTCTAGTTTATCGGTTGGCTGAAACAGTTTTTGTTCTTATGTGTTGTTTATAACATATAAATTTATTTTTTCACTAATTTTAGACTCAGTTGCGAACATGGGCGGTCCTACCCTAAGGGCAGGGTAGGCAGCCGCCTACTCCATTTTTTGCCAAACCAAATATTACCCAATACTTAATACAATTATATCTCTTCTGCCTACTCAATTATATCTCTTCTGCTTACTCAACCCCAACCAACTCAAATGTTTCCCCCCCTTAACAAAAACAATAGCCCAGCCCACTCAAACTTTCTCATTTAACAAAAACAATAAAAGCACTATCAATTCAAATGCTCCAACCCAGCCGACATTCTCCACTCCAACCCCATGGGCCATGCCCACTTATATTATATACTTCAAAAAAATAAAAAGAGCGAAGCAAACCCAATTGATTTCAATTGACGGTCCCCACTTCTTCTCCCTTGAGCAAATTGGTTGGCTGCGTAAAGGATTATGCATATTTGAGGGCAAGGCTCATTACGTCCCCCTAATTAGGTGTATATTTTTTATTTTTATGCATAAAATTCACTCGTACCGTCGAGTTTTTAAGGTAAGTTTCGCCTACTTGGCTTTTGAATTCTGGATCCGCCACTGGTTGCGAACTTTTTTGGATTGATCTTGATGAGTTTTTCTTTCCAGAAGTATAAACTTATCATTAAAAACAAACATGTAGCATGAGAAACCAAACTTGTGTGCATGTAATTCTGGAAAACACTTCATTGTTCAGTTCTTAAATTTCATGCAAACTTTTGTTTTGAGATTGTTAAAGGAAATTGTATTGTTTATTAATTCATCGGAAAGTATTTTCAATTATATATGGCAGGTGACCCGTTTGAAATGTGGAGGTTTCATATTTGCATTACGTCTAAACCACACATTGTGTGACGCAGTAGGGTTGGGCCAGTTCTTGAACGCAGTTGGGGAGATAGCTCGAGGAGCAAATGCGCCATCAATTCCACCAGTGTGGGAACGAGAGCTCTTGAATGCCCGAGATCCACCCAGAGTTACATACACGCATCATGAATACGGGGACTAAAATATTTCTCAAGCCTCTGTCATTGCCTCTAAAGATCAGCAAGACCTGGTCCAGAAATGTTTGTATTTTGGTCCTGAGGAGATAAGGGCTGCTAGAAAACATCTTCCACCACACCTCACTTGCTCCACATTTGAGCTGATAACAGCTTGTACGTGGAAATGCCGCACAATTGCACTCGCAATGGATCCAGACGAGGTTGTGCGTCTTTCATTGGTCATCAATGCACGTGGAAAGCGCAACAATGTAGTTCTTCCTTTGGGATTTTATGGCAATGGAATTGGATTCCCAGGTGTGGTTTCGACGGCTGAGCTTTTATGTCAAAATCCATTGGGTTACGCGGTGGACTTGGTGAAGGAGGCCAAGTATAAAATGATGAATCAAGATTACATAAAATCAGTCGCGGATCTTTTAGCGTTGCGGGGATGGCCGCCGCTTACATTGGCAGGGAATAACTTCATACTTTCGGACAACACACGTACCGGTGTGGGGTTGATTTCGGATGGGGTAAGCCGATAATTGCTGGACCTGCCAAGTCTGCGAATTTGATTAGCTTCTATGTTCGAGACAGCAACCAAAAAGAGAAATATAGGATTCTGGTACCAGTGTGCTTACCATTCCGGTCTGTGGAGAGGTTTGAGCAGGAGTTCAAAAGGCTGACTTTGGAGCCTGAGGAGGAGGGATGATGGTGCGTTTTGGTTTCTTTCTCTTGGTTTTAATGGGGTGGTGTAAACAACGATTTTTGAATAATTATGAGCTCAAGCAAGAAGTATTTGTATCAGCTTCTGAGGTTCATAATTTTAGATAATCTTGGTGGTTAAGTGGTTAGATAATCTTGGTTCATTCATATATATTCAAATAATCAGATAATCTTCATTTATAGATAATCGTCAGTGCATTTGGAAATATTTAAGCTTACTACCATTAACACTAAAAAATACACTTAATAGACTTGGAGGAAAGTTTATGCTTGTTGTATGGCACTAAGTGTGGAAAACATGTACAACCAAAGGACTTGAGAAACCGGTAGTCAGGTGGGCGTTGGAACAACTTCTCATAGGGTGAAACTTGACCAAGTTGTGTTGTTGGTAACCTGTTGATAAGAAAGACAGCAGTGGAAAAAGCTTCGAGCCAAAAACTCGAAGGTAAGTGTGAATGTGACAACAAGCAAAGTCCCATTTCAACAATATGTCTATGCTTACGCTCAACAATTCCGTTTTGCTCTGGTGTGCAAGGGCATGAAATGTGATGTGTGATGCCGTGTTCATGAAGAAAATTAAGGAATAAACGATTAGTGAATTCTCCACCACCATCAATTTGTATTGTTTTAATAGAATGGTTGTGTTGTTTTTCCACCAATCTTTTAAAGAAGACAAACGTTGTAAGCACATCGGATTTCTTTGCTAAAGGATAAAAACCACACAAATCGAGTGTATTCATCAACAATAGATAAATAATAACGATAACCAAAATTTGATGAGACTGGGGCTGGTCCCCATAAATCTAGATGAAGTACTGCAAGGGGTTCATGAGCATAAAAGTGCGATTGGAAAAGGGAAGTCTACATGATTTTCCCAAAGGGCAAATATGACAAGCCTTATTAGAATCAACCTTACAACTAACAGGCAAGTGAAATTTATTAAGTAAAATACGAAAAACATCATGAGACGGATGGCCAAGTCTTGTATGCCAAATATCTTGGGTAGTCCTTTCATCATAAAAGACTAGCTTCCCTGAGATTGTAGGATCTGCTTGAATATGGTACAAGTCACCAGAGCTACTGCCAGTGAGTAATGTCCTCCCCGTCATATTGTCCTTTGCATGAAAGCCATTAGCATGCATCTCAAAATAGCAATTATTATCCTTAGAAAAACGGTGTATAGACAATAGATTCTTTCGTATAGCGGGAACACATAGAACATTAGTAAGTTTCAAAGGACCAATATTAGTTTGACCAATATGACTTATTGAGAGACGAGTGCCATTACCTACAATAATGGAGTCATTACCTGTATATGGTTTCACAAAGGGGAGTTGAGAAGGAATGGACACCATATGATGGGTTGCCCCGGAGTCAACACACCAACTTGTGTTAGTAGGAACAAATGGTGAAGGGATATTGGAGGTGTTGGACTCTGCCATGTAGGCGTAATTACCACGATCAGGACATACATGTGAAGTGTGGCCTTGCCGGTTGCACATCTGACAGGTTTCTTGAAACTAAAAAGGAGGTTGATATGGTGATGTTGGGAGCAGTGGTGGACGTCCATCATGTGAAGGCATTGATGATCTAGTGTCTGTTAGAAATTGAGGACGGCGGTGATCACGACTATTCTGCGAGCCGTTCTCGCGAGTGAAGGTCCCGCCATTATGGTAGTTGAAATTCCAGTTAGGAGAACGACCTGAATTTCTTCCACTATGCCAACCGCGACGTCGGCCTCGTCCTCTTCCAAAGTTTTGGAACCGGGTCTGAGAATGGTTGTGCTGATTGGTGCTTTGGGCTCGGTTCTGAGTGGCCTGATCATTGGTACTGCGATCAGAGGTGAGTGCTACACTTTGTGATAAGGAGAGGGAAGACATCCTCTTCAGCAACTGTTCTTCCTGTTTTAACAAATCATAAAATTCATCAAAGGTTAGAGAGGGTCGAAGATGAAGGGAGGTAGTAAATTCTTTGTATTCATGGCCTAGGCCATCGAGTATATAATCAATAAGTTTGCCATCAGAAATTGAGGTGCCAGCCGCAGTGACAGAATCAAAGAGAGACTTGGCGTGGATCAAATAATCAGCAAATGACTTTTCTGGATCCTTTTTTAGAGTGTGTATCTGATCTCGCAGGGTACGAATATAAGTTTTGGACAGGGGTGACAGCCGTTTCTCAAGCAGCGTCCATGCCTCATATGCTGTAGAACATGGAATTAGAAGGGTCTTAATAGAAGATGAAGCCGTGGCCTTGATCCAACTTAAGACTAGTTTGTCTTTTGAATAGGTTGGATTGAGAGAACCATCGGGAAGTTTCTTCTGAGGATGGGTTTCTGTCTTAATCACATCTTCCAGATCATGTAATTCTAGTACATCTTCAAAATGAGATTTCCAACAAAGAAAATTATTACGATCCATTGGTGATGTAAACAAGTGAGCAATATTGAAAGAAGTTGGAATAGAAGATCGTGTGGTGGTCATGGTATTTTGAGAATTAGTTTGAGAGATTTGAGAAGGCTGAGAGTCAGAAGAAGAGTTTACTGGAGAGGAAGAGTTTGTCATTAGGATCGAAAAGGGGTTGCTAGCCTCTGTGAGGCTCTGATACCATGTAAGAAATAGCTAGGGGTTAGAGAAGAATAAGAAGTAGAATAGAAAGAACACCCCACGATGAGTATTCTGGTTGTATTGGATTTCTTTTATATGCTATACAGTTGACTTTGTACATGAATATAAACAGAGTAAATTATACAAACGGTAAAACATAAAATAGGCAGTTCAAAGATTATAGGGATTGATTGAGATAATGAAGCAATCACACTTGAATGGCTACAGACTGCCGTGACTTGTGGGGAGTGTCTTGCATATTCATTGGCTGATGGGTAGGATGCTCTTCACTCATGTTTTATGGCGCTCGAAAATGAGAGTAAACAAAAATAATAAACGCTCAATTTTGAATGACATAAGCTAAAGATACCTACCCTTCAGCAATCTTAACATGGGTTTTCCTTCAAAAGTACTTTGCAGGCTCTGTAATTTTCTCAGAAACTCCCAAGGACCTCTTGGAACATATTCTAGTCTTCGCTTAATTTGGCAGGATGATGTGTCTTGTATTATTGGCACGGGTGTGGGGCATATTTCTACATGGCCCCCCATTTGCAGTTGGAAGTCGAACTGTCCTCAACCTCAGGGCAAAAGGCTCTTGTCAATTTTCGGAGCAAGATGCACTACTACAAAAATCGCAATAGACGACGGTAATCCACCGTCGTGTATCGGGTTTTTCAACCGTCGTGAAATCGACCGACATCTATTGATGCATAAAACCACGACGGTAAATCCCCGTCGTCTATTATTTGTAAAGACGACGCTTTTACTCAAAACCGTCGTCTATTATATGTAAAGACGACGGTTTTTTTAAAAGAACTGTCGTCTATTATATGTAAAGACGACAGTTTTTGTTAAAACCGTCGTTAATTGTAGGCAAAATACGACGGTTTTTATTTAAAACCGTCTTTAATTGTATAGAAAGATGACGGTTTTTTGTTAAAAAGCGTCGTTGATTGTATATAAAGACGACATTATTGTGTTAAAAAAGGTCATTGATTATATTTACAGACGACGATTTTTCCAATAAAACCATCGTTTTATTATCTATAAATCTGTCTTCTAATGCGTTCCCAAGCTGTTACATTTAGGTTTTTGTTTCCTATGATTCTATACAATGATTTTAACTAGAAAACCAATTATAATGCTTTATTAAAGAATATATATGCTCAAAAGTTATTTCTTTCATAAAACTTGAAAATTCAATAGTTATTACATAGTCAACCAATCTTTGCTCTATTACATAATACTTCCTACATACTTCTTGAGACTATTTCCTCAGCCCCCTTCCCTTGCACTGGCACCTTCACACTGATTAGCATCTGTCATGCTAAATCCAAACATTAGCAACATTTTTTTTTCTTTTTTCAGATGACCACAAATACAAAAACCATTTAATGAACCTGTTTAGACAGATTGGCAGAAAAAGGAAATCCCTTTAGATACCATCTTTATAGTTCTAATATGCCATTGTTGCAAAGACAAAAGAGCGTAACAAAGAGAGAGAGAGAGAGAGAGAGAGAGAGAAAAAATCTAGCGTGGGATATGAGACTGACTCTACATCGCACACAGAGCTCTTTTAATCAGACAAGTCAATTGGTTTTGTCTGCAAAAAACCATCATTAGGTGAGCAAGAGTATAGGTGCAATTCAAGAAATCGAGTTCGTTAATTAAGTAAACCAAAGAGTATGATACATCATACGAGAAAAAAATATGCCATAACAGTAATTGTTTCTGTAGCAAGGTGGAAGAGAAAAACAAAATGGATGAAACAATGCAATCAAAGAAACCAAAAAGAAAGAGAGCCAGAGTGGATGTCACTATACTTAAAAACAATCATATATGATAAACACATAATTATTACAATTTCTATCCCTAATCTATATTTGTTAGTACTTTGTTTCAATGAATTTTGAACCAATTAGAATGTTACATTGCATTTTACAAATCCATTTGCACTTCATTGAAATAAAGGCTAATTTAGTTGATTTTTCTATTAGGTAGCTCTCTCTTTGCAAGCAGCCCAAGGAGAGAAAAGAAATGAAGCCCAAACTCCAGTCCATTTTCGGCAGTCAGCTTGCAAGCCCCAAAACACACGTTTTTACTGCTCGGATGGGAATGCATTCTTCATGAAAGTTGTTCCAATGGGTGTCTATTATAACATATCCAAATTTGAGCCCCATTGGATACATATTAAAACCTCAGGCCTTCCTACACCAAGCCTGGTGCAGAATAATTCGTTTTTCCAGCAACACATGTGCAGCAGCAAAAGAACTTTAGCAGTCAGCAACTTTAGATAGCAGCATATGGGTTGGCAGCAAATAAAGAGCCAGATCTCCATGCTAAAAGATGAATGGGCAGCACCATGTGTGCAGCTGCCAACATGTGAAGATGATGATTATGTTGATGCTTTAGTTGCTTTCCTTCCTCTATAAATTGAAGGTAATGCAAAGAGAATGGGAGGAGAATTGTAGAGCAGATTTTAGTAGAATAGAGTGCAGATTTTGTGCAATTCTTAGGCACCAAAGGGAGAGGGAAAATGGCAATATAATTGGAGAGAACCTTGGGGAGCCATGAGGCAAGGAACCAAGAGGTTGATGATGCAATTTTTCCTTCTCCTTTTTGTTCTTCATTTTTATCTTGTATTGTTATTTTATTTATGTCTAGTTAAACTTTTTTTAATAATGAAATACCATTATGAAATGAAGTCTAGTTCTTAACTTTCAATTC